GTCTGTTACAGTGCCAAGGCATGCAGGGCTGTTTTAACCATGTGTCACAGGTGGTGAGGTGACGCATATATATTACAAAAGCTTTAAGCCACCCTTTATCAGTACCCAAAGTGTTGTTGTAGACTAAACTGTAAGCCCATTGTGCTCAGAAAGTGTTTATTTGTCAATGCACATTTTTTCCAGAGAAATGTTAAAATACAGGGCCTGTCCTCAGATGAAGATAGGCTAATGCACTGTAACTTTGTGACACAGTGACTGTAGAAAGATTTACTGTATAGTATCCTTTCAATGAATAGCTCCAACAGAAGAGGGACGGACAAGGAAAAGGGAACCTCTTTACTTCCTGTTCACTATGTCCTTCATTGTGATGAGATGCGTCCAGGAACCTTGCCAACTGCCTTTGTCCTCTTCCTCCATTCATCTGTTGAAATGTCCTGAACACACACAGTCAGTCACAGCTCTATAGCTCCCCCTAGAGTATGTTTCCTGTGCCTGTCGGTGTGTACCAGACATATGTGTGTGTTTGTGTATGTAAGAGCTGTGTGAGTGTGCGTGTGCTTGTGCGTGTTAGTGTGTGTGTGTGTTTATGTACTGTATGTATCAGAGCTGTGTGTGTAATGTGTGTGTGTCCGTCCCTAGGGAGTTAAGGTTCCGTAAGCGTGCCCAGTCTGCAGACGACGAGGGCAGCGTTGAGCTGGCAGAGTCCCTTCAACACCTCACCCTCTCAGAGTTCCTCAAAGAGTACGTGGGCATCGCCCCCTTCTGGGCTGGCAGCCCAGGCCCTTCCTTCCTGGGCAGATAGACCTCCAGCCCCTAACCCTACAGTAACTCCCCTGATCTGGAAGCTGACCCTCTAGCCATTAACCCTACAGTAACTTCCCTGATCTGGAAGCCGACCCTCTAGCCATTAACCCTACAGTAACTCCCCTGATCTGGAAGATGACCCTCTAGCCCCTAACCGTACAGTAACTCCCCTGATCTGGAAGATGACCCTAGCCATTAACCCTACAGTAACTTCCCTGATCTGGAAGCCAGACCTCTAGCCCCTAACCCTACAGTAACTCCCCTGATCTGGAAGCTGACCCTCTAGCCATTAACCATACGGTAACTCCTCTGATCTGGAAGCCAGCCCTCTAGCCACTAATCCTACAGTAACTCCCCTGATCTGGAAGCTAACCCTCTAGCCATTAACCCTACAGTAACTCCCCTGATCTGGAAGCCAGACCTCTAGCCCCTAACCCTACAGTAACTCCCCTGATCTGGAAGCTGACCCTCTAGCCATTAACCCTACAGTAACTCCCCTAATCTGGAAGCCAGACCTCTAGCCCCTAACCCTACAGTAACTCCCCTGATCTGGAAGCTGACCCTCTAGCCATTAACCCTACAGTAACTCCCCTGATCTGGAAGCCACCCCTCTAGCCCCTAACCCTACAGTAATTTCCCTGATCTGGATGCCGACCCTCTAGCAATTAACCCTACAGTAACTCCCCTGATCTGGAAGCCGACCCTCTAGCCATTAACCCTACAGTAACTCTCCTGATCTGGAAGCCAGCCCTCTAGCCACTAACCATACAGTAACTCCCCTGATCTGGAAGCCAGCCCTCTAGCCACTAACCCTACAGTAACTCCCCTGATCTGGAAGCCAGACCTCTAGCCATTAATCCTACAGTAACTCCCCTGATCTGGAAGCCAGCCCTCTAGCCACTAACCATACAGTAACTCCCCTGATCTGGAAGCCAGACCTCTAACCACTAGCCCTACAGTAACTCCCCTGATCTGGAAGCCAGACCTCTAGCCACTAGCCCTACAGTAACTCCCCTGATCTGGAAGCCAGCCCTCTAGCCACTAACCCTACAGTAACCCCCCTGATCTGGAAGCCGACCCTCTAGCCACTAACCCTATAGTAACACCCCTGATCTGGAAGCCAGCCCTCTAGCCTCTAACCCTACAGTAACTCCATTGATCTGGAAGCCAGACCTCTAGCCCCTAACCCTACAGTAACTTCCTGATCTGGAAGCCGACCCTCTAGCCATTAACCCTACTGTAACTCCCCTGATCTGGAAGCCAGACCTCTAGCCCCTAACCCTACTGTAACTTCCCTGATCTGGAAGCTGACCCTCTAGCCATTAACCCTACTGCAACTCCCCTGATCTGGAAGCCAGCCCTCTAGCCACTAACCCTACAGTAACTCCCCTGATCTGGAAGCGAGACCTCTAGCCGCTAACCCTACAGTAACTCCCGTGATCTGGAAGCCAGACCTCTGGCCACTAACCCTACAGTAACTCTCCTGATCTGGAAGCCAGCCCTCTAGCCTCTAACCCTACAGTAACTCCCCTGATCTGGAAGCGAGACCTCTAGCCACTAACCATACAGTAACTCCCCTGATCTGGAAGCCAGACCTCTAGCCACTAATCCTACAGTAACTCCCCTGATCTGGAAGCCAGCCCTCTATCCACTTACCCTACAGTAACTCCCCTGATCTGGAAGCCAGACCTCTAGCCACTAGCCCTACAGCAACTCCCCTGATCTGGAAGACAGACCTCTAGCCACTAACCCTACAGTAACTCCCCTGATCTGGAAGCCAGACCTCTAGCCACTAATCCTACAGTAACTCCCCTGATCTGGAAGCCAGACCTCTAACCACTAGCCCTACAGTAACTCCCCTGATCTGGAAGCCAGACCTCTAGCCATTAATCCTACAGTAACTCCCCTGATCTGGAAGCCAGACCTCTAGCCACTAACCCTACAGTAACTCCCCTGATCTGGAAGCCAGACTTCTAGCCACTAACCCTACAATAACTCCCCTGATCTGGAAGCCAGACCTCTAGCCACTAGCCCTACAGTAACTCCCCTGATCTGGAAGCCAGACCACTAGCCACTAATCCTACAGTAACTCCCCTGATCTGGAAGCCAGACTTCTAGCCACTAACCCTACAGTAACTCCCCTGATCTGGAAGCCAGACCTCTAGCCACTAGCCCTACAGTAACTCCCCTGATCTGGAAGCCAGACTTCTAGCCACTAACCCTACAATAACTCCCCTGATCTGGAAGCCAGACCTCTAGCCCCTAATCCTACAGTAACTCCCCTGATCTGGAAGCCAGACCTCTAGCCACTAACCCTACAGTAACTCCCCTGATCTGGAAGCCAGACTTCTAGCCACTAACCCTACAGTAACTCCCCTGATCTGGAAGCCAGATCTCTAGCCACTAACCATACAGTAACTCCCCTGATCTGAAAGCCAGACCTCTAACCACTAGCCCTACAGTAACTCACCTGATCTGAAAGCCAGACCTCTAGCCACTAGCCCTACAGTAACTCCCCTGATCTGGAAGCCAGACCTCTAGCCACTAATCCTACAGTAAGTCCCCTGATCTGGAAGCCAGACCTCTAGCCACTAACCCTACAGTAACTCCCCTGATCTGGAAGCCAGACTTCTAGCCACTAACCCTACAATAACTCCCCTGATCTGGAAGACAGACCTCTAGCCACTAGCCCTACAGTAACTCCCCTGATCTGGAAGCCAGACCTCTAGCCACTAATCCTACAGTAACTCCCCTGATCTGGAAGCCAGACCTCTAGCCACTAACCCTATAGTAACTCCCCTGATCTGGAAGCCAGACTTCTAGCCACTAGCCCTACAGTAACTCACCTGATCTGGAAGCCAGACCTCTAGCCACTAGCCCTACAGTAACTCCCCTGATCTGGAAGCCAGACTTCTAGCCACTAACCCTACAGTAACTCCCCTGATCTGGAAGCCAGACTTCTAGCCACTAGCCCTACAGTAACTCCCCTGATTTGGAAGCCAGACCTCTAGCCACTAACCCTACAGTAACTCACCTGATCTGGAAGCCAGACCTCTAGCCACTAGCCCTACAGTAACTCCCCTGATCTGGAAGCCAGACTTCTAGCCACTAGCCCTACAGTAACTCCCCTGATTTGGAAGCCAGACTTCTAGCCACTAGCCCTACAGTAACTCCCCTGATCTGGAAGCCAGACTTCTAGCCACTAACCCTACAGTAACTCCCCTGATCTGGAAGCCAGACCTCTAGCCCCCTAGCTCCAGCCTCAGTCTAACATCTTCATGCCAACCCTTTTAACCCTAGAGGTCCCCCTCTGTGCATCCTGACATCTAACCTCTACATTTGTGCCCACAATGCACTCTGCCTAGCATGGCATCACCAATAACCTTCAGAGATTACACTTGTATGTTGTTGAAGTCAATGGATTAACCATGTTTGATTAGCGCACATATGCTGCACATGTCTCTAACTGCTACTTTGTAACCCATTCTTAACTCACAGTGATCTTTCACTGAACTCTGACCTCTCAGGGTTAAGTGGTCTATCCTCCCATTATCTGGAATCACACAGAGGATTCTATTGGACCTGACTTTTTGTTTGTTTTTGTCTTGATTCTGTAGTAAACATCTATGGCTTTGTGTTGCATGTGTTCAAGCTGTATTTTGATCCAGCCTGGTATGACAGCCACTGACCGATTGACCTACTAACCAAATACCATGTTTACTAGTATTATTAGTATTACTAGTATTACTAGTATTATTATTAGTGCTATTATTATTAATATTATTATTAGTACTAGTATTATTATTATTATTATTATTATTATTATTATTATTATTATTATTATTAGTAGTAGTAGTAGTAGTATCACTATTATTAGTATTATCAATATTATTTGTATTACTAGTATTACTAGTATTATTAGTATTATTAGTGTTACTAGTATGCTTTCATAAGTTGTATGCTGTGTTTTCCACCTTTTTGTTTCCTTGTTGATGGAAAGGACGACAATTACGGTACTACTATTAGTAACGACTATAAGTAATCATTAATTTGCTGTTGGTCAGCAAAGATCACCAGGCAGAAAAAAAGATAGATCAGCAAATAGGACTCTAGTATGGATACAGTTTATAAAACCCAACATATGGAAAGTCACATTTGATGAGGATTTGACTTTTCTAACCCTATAAGTCTATGATATGATGCTAACCCAATTGCGCCTGAACAGAATTGAAGAGGAGGAGTGGGACAAGTACAACATCCCCTCCAAGGTGGAGTCAGAGAAATACAAAGTGATTCGTACCTTCAGCTTCCTCAAGAGCAGGATGTCCACCACTCGCAAGAAGAACAAGGTGAGATACCATATAGGCCTGACAGATAATGTACACACTGACTGAGTCACATGTAATCTACACCTCAGTCTAGACCTAATATAATCTACAGCTATAAGGACTGCATGACACACCCAGGAAGTGCTGTAAAACTGATACCATTGACTGTCAGTTATCATGCTGCTATTATCACTTAATTATCTGATACAAAAGCCCATTATCAATAGACTTTGCATCCTTGAAAAGTGCTATATAAATACCATGTATTATTATAATATTATTATTGTAATCATCCCAACCCTTCTCCTTAGTATTCACCTCAGGGTCTGTTCTTCACATGATTACAAAGAGCTGGAAGTGTTTGGGGAAATAACCTTGACCCAAAACACCATTAAAAAACTGTAGCTTCTTTCCTTTCAATCATCAACCCTTTGTTGGTGGATCAGCATGTGGAAACCCCCCCCCCCCCCCCCCCTACATTTCCGTCACAGTGGACTTTAAAATGGGCTGAAATAAGGCTTGGATCGTTCACATTTAAACTGATTCATTTGGAGTCAGTGTGCATGTGTGGCTATTTCTGGCTACTTATAAGCTAGCTAGACCGTAGTATCTGTAACCTGACTGGTAGTGCTTAAGGCTAGCTGAGTGTAACCAATGCTTATGGTGTTACAGAGTTACAATTAAATGTTTCTATGCTTTGACAGGTAGTGTCTGAAAGGGTTTGGATGTAGTTACAGTATAATATATGGGTGTGTGTTAACTAGCCTATCCATGACTCTGATGTTCACCCCTGTGAATCTATCCTGGTTCAACAAGGGGAAGGGGAAGGAGAAGGAGAGAGAGAAGGAGAGAGAGAAGGAGAGAGAGAAGGAAGGGAAAGACAAGGACAAACAGCAGAATGGACATCGTTTCTCCACGGGTTCCTGTGCTGGTCCCACCGTCTGTCTGGTCTGTGACAAACCTACTACTGGCAAGGACCTTCTGCACTGCTCCAGTATGTAATCAGCAGTCACAGTTGAATTATTAGTAATGTATCAGTCAAAACAATCAATCAATGTGTCCCGCAATGCTATAAACATACAAGATATCTCAGTGATCTGCAACTCTGTCACAGAGAATAAAAATAGATCAGATATTTATTGGAAATGTAGCAATACATATCTCAAGATAAATAAAGTGTATATGTATCCATAGGCTTTCTTTGCATTCATAGAGACCAAATAATTTGCAATTGCAAAGATCCACATTTTAGGGGAAGATATCAGAATTCCAATTCATTCATTCATGTAGCTATTCTATTTCCATTCTGGTTGGTTGATATCTCTATTTATGGACCTATCCCTCTCTCCCACAGGTTGTACAGTCATGGTCCATAAGGGTTGTAAGGACTCTGCTCCCCCGTGTCTAAAGGTGAGTTTCAGCCTGTGTGTATGTGTGTGTGTGTGTGTGTGTGTGTGTGTGTGTACCTCTGCCCCACAATCACATACATAAACATTGGGATGTGTTAATGGTAAACTAGTCCAGTGACACATCTACTACTCATTTTTTGCTGTTGAACGAAGAGATCTAGTTGGAATGTTTAATTATCTGGTGTCCTACTAGACTCCTTTTTGTATTTTTTAAAATTAAAACTACAGAAACTTCAGGATAAGTATGCAGTTACCATGGTGAAGAACCGAACGGCATCCCTCCCGCAGAGTGAGTTTTACATCACACAGTTCAAAGGTCATTGATGTCACAGCTCTTAGTTGTCATCCTGTGAAGCACTCAGAGGAAGGAATCCTGAAACAATAACATTCCTCTCTCTTCTCCTTTCCTCTCCTCTCCTCGCTCTCCTTTCATTTCCTTTCCTCTCCTTTCTTCTCCTCTCCTCTCCTCCCCTCTCCTCCCTCGTCCAGACTTCACAGTGCGAGACAGTCCCTCTCCATCTCTGATCTCCACCTCAGCCTCTCTACCTATGATGAGCCAGAGGGACAGGAGAGAAACAGCCTCCCTTCCCAACCCCCTCTCCAGGAGCGTCCCTTCTGCCACAGACAGGTCAGCATTTCTTTCTCTCTCTCTATCTCCTATCTCTCTCTAGCTCTGCTCGCTAGCGAGGATCTCTCTCTCTGCTCCTCTCTACTCTACTCTCGTCTCTCTCTCTCTCTCTCTCTCTCTCTCTCTCTCTCTCTCTCTCTCTCTCTCTCTCTCTCTCTCTCTCTCTCTCTCTCTCTCTCTCTCAATTCAGTTACATTTTTCAATTTAAGGGCTTTATTGGCATGAGAAACATATGTTAACAAGTAGATAGTAAACTAAAGTGAAATAAACAATAAAAAATTAACAGTAAACATTACACTCAGAAGTTCCAAAAGAATAAAGACATTTCAAATGTCATATTATGTATATATACAGTGTTGTAACAATGTGCAAATAAATAAACATAAATATGGGTTGTATTTACAATGGTGTTTGTTCTTCACTGGTTGCCCTTTTCTTGTGGCAACAGGTCACAAATCTTGCTACTGTGATGGCACACTGTGGTTTTTCACCCAGTAGATAAGGGAGTTTATCAAAATTGGGTTTGTTTTCTAATTCTTTGTGGATCTGTGTAATCTGAGGGAAATATGTGTCTCTAATATGGTCATGGCAGGAGGTTAGGAATTGCAGCTCAGTTTCCACCTCATTTTGTGGGCAGTGTGCACATAGCCTGTCTTCTCTTGAGAGCCAGGTCTGCCTACGGAGGCCTTTCTCAATAGCAAGGCTATGCTCACTGAGTCTGTACATAGTCAAAGCTTTCCTTAAGTTTGGGTCAGTCACAGTGGTCAGGTATTCTGCCACTGTGTATTCTCTGTTTAGGGCCAAATAGCATTCTAGTTTGCTCTGTTTTTTTTGTTAATTCTTTCCAATGTGTCAAGTAATTCTCTTTTTGTTTTCTCATGATTTGGTTGGGTCAAATTGTGTTGTTGTCCTGAGGCTCTGTGGGGTCTGTTTGTGTTTGTGAACAGAGACCCAGGACCAGCTTACTTAGGGGACTATTCTCCAAGTTAATCTCTCTGTAGGTGATGGCTTTGTTATGGAAGGTTTGGGAATCGCTTCCTTTTAAGTGGTTATAGATTTTAATGGCTCTTTTCTTGATTTTGATAATTAGCGGGTATCGGCCTACTTCTGCTCTGCATGCATTATTTGGTGTTTTTTGTTGTACACAGAGGATATTTTCGCAGAATTCTGCATGCAGAGTCTCAATTTGGTGTGTCCCATTTTGTGAATTCTTGGTTGGTGAGCGGACCCCAGACCTCACAACCATAAAGGGCAAAGGGCAATGGGTTCTATAACTGATTCAAGTATTTTTAGCCAGATCCTAATTGGTATGTCGAATTTTATGTTCCTTTTGATGGCATAGAATGCCCTTCTTGCCTTGTCTCTCAGATCGTTCACAGCTTTGTGGAAGTTACCTGTGGCGCTGATGTTTAGGCCGGTGTCTAGATGGAATTTGTATTTGTGGTCCTGACATCTGGACCTTTTTTGGAACACCATTATTTTTTTCTTACTGAGATTCACTGTCAGGGTCCAAGCCTGACAGAATCTGTGCAGAAGATCTAGGTGCTGCTGTAGGCCCTCATTGGTTGGGGACAGAAGCACCAGATCATCTGCAAACAGTAGACATTTGATTTCCGAGTCCAGTAGAGTGAAGCTGGGTGCTACAGACTTTTCTAGTGCCCTAGCCAATTAATTTATATATATGCTGAAGAGGGTGGGTTTCAAGCTGCATCCCTGAGGAAAGAAATGTGTGTGTTTATTGCCAATATTAACTGCACACTTGTTGTTTGTGTACATTGCTTTTATAATGTCATATGTTTTTCCCCCAACACCGCTTTCCATCAATTTGTATAGCAGAAATCAACTAAGCATAAGAAGACTTTGCTTAAGCATAAGAAGACTTTGCTTTTGTTTTGTTTGTTTGTCAATAAGGGTGTGCAGGGTGTATACGTGGTCTGTCCTACGGTATTTTGGTAAGAAGCCAATTTGACCTTTGCTCAGGACATTGTTTTCACTGAGGAAATGTTGGAGTTTGTCTCCACTTTTGTGGATTGGGGTGGTCTGTCCTCGGTTCCAAATATTGGGGAAGATGCCAGAGCTGAAGATGATCTTAAAGAGTTTAAGAATAGCCAATTGGAATTTGTGGTCTGTATGTTTTATCATTTAATTTAGGATACCATCAACACCACATGCCTTTTTGGGTTGGAGGGTTTGTATTTTGTCCTGTAGTTCATTCAATATAATTGGAGAATCCAGTGGGATCTGTTAATATTTAATAGCTGATTCTAAGATTTGTAGTTGATCATGTATATGTTTTTGCTGTTTGTTCTTTGTTCTCAAAAGATTTGAGAAGTGGTTTATCCATTCATATTTTTTAGGATAGGTAGCTCTTTGTGTTGTTGTTGGTTTAGTGTGTTCCAATTTTCCCAGAAGTGGTTATATTCTATGGATTCTTCAATTACATTAAGCAGATTTCTGATTTACTGTTCCTTATTTTTGTCTTAGTGTATTTCTGTATTGTTTTAGTGTTTCACCATAGTGAAGGCATAGTCTCAGGTTTTCTGGGTCTCTGTTGATTTTGTCCACCCACACCAGATGCTATCAGGACACGCTGGTTGAAAGATCAAAACGAACTCTGAACCAACTATATTAATTTGGGGACAGGTCGAAAAGCATTAAACATGTATGGCAATTTAGCTAGCTAGCTTGCTGTTGCTAGCTAATTTGTCCTGGGATTCTTTTATTTTTTTTATTTCACCTTTATTTAACCAGGTAAGCCAGTTGAGAACAAGTTCTCATTTACAACTGCGACCTGGCCAAGATAAAGCAAAGCAGTGCGATAAAAACAACAACACAGAGTAACATATGGGGTAAAACAAAACATAAAGTCGAAAATACAACAGAAAATATATATACAGTGTGTGCAAATGTAGCAAGTTATGGAGGTAAGGCAATAAATAGGCTATAGTGCAAAATAATTACAATTAGTATTAACACTGGAATGATAGATGTGCAAGAGATGATGTGCAAATAGAGATACTGGGGTGCAAATGAGCAAAATAAATAACAATATGGGGATGAGGTAGTTGGGTGGGCTAATTTCAGATGGGCTGTGTACAGGATCAGTGATCGGTAAGGTGCTCTGACAACTGATGCTTAAAGTTAGTGAGGGAGATAAGTCTCCAGCTTCAGAGATCTTTGCAATTCGTTCCAGTCATTGGCAGCAGAGAACTGGAAGGAATGGCGGCCAAAGGAGGTGTTGGCTTTGGGGATGACCAGTGAGATATACCTGCTGGAGCGCATACTACGGGTGGGTGTTGCTATGGTGACCAATGAGCTAAGATAAGGCAGGGATTTGCCTAGCAGTGATTTATAGATGGCCTGGAGCCAGTGGGTTTGGCAACGAATATGTAGTGAGGACCAGCCAACAAGAGCGTACAGGTCACAGTGGTGGGTAGTATATGGGGCTTTGGTGACAAAACGGATGGCACTGTGATAGACTACATCCAATTTGCTGAGTAAAGTGTTGGAGGCTATTTTGTAAATGACATCGCTGAAGTCAAGGATCGGTAGGATAGTCCGTTTTACGAGGGCATTTTTGGCAGCATGAGTGAAGGAGGCTTTGTTGCGAAATAGGAAGCCAATTCTAGATTTAACTTTGGATTGGAGATTCTTAATGTGAGTCTGGAAAGAGAGTTTACAGTCTAACCAGACACCTAGGTATTTGTAGTTGTCCACATACTCTAGGTCAGACCCGCCGAGAGTAGTGATTCAAGTCGTGTGGGCGGGTGCCAGCAGCGTTCGATTGAAGAGCATGCATTTAGTTTTACTAGTGTTTAAGAGCAGTTGGAGGCTACTGAAGGAGTGTTGTATGGCATTGAAGCTTGTTTGGAGGTTTGTTAACACAGTGTCCAATGAAGGGCCAGATGTATACAAAATGGTGTCGTCTGCGTAGAGGTGGATCTGAGAGTCACCAGCAGCAAGAGCGACATCATTGATATACACAGAGAAAAGAGTCGGCCCAAGAATTGAACCCTGTGGCACCCCCATAGAGACTGCCAGAGGTCCAGACAACAGGCCCTCCGATTTGACACATTGAACTCTATCTGAGAAGTAGTTGGTGAACCAGGCGAGGCAGTCATTTGAGAAACCAAGGCTATTTAGTCTGCCAATAAGAATGCGGTGGTTGACAGTCGAAAGCCTTGGCCAGGTCGATGAAGACGGCTGCACAGTACTGTCTATTATCGATCGCGGTTATAATATCATTTAGGACCTTGAGCGTGGCTGAGGTGCACCCATGACCAGCTCGGAAACCGGATTGCATAGCGGAGAAGGTACGGTGGGATTGGAAATGGTCGGTGATCTGTTTGTTAACTTGGCTTTCAAAAACTTTCGAAAGGCAGGGCAGGATGGATATAGGTCTGTAACAGCTTGGATCTAGAGTGTCACCCCCTTTGAAGAGGGGGATGACCGCG